ATCAACTGATGTCACTGCAGTGCCTCTGGCCGGGAGGTCCTAGGTTCGAGTCCCGGGGGTGGCTGGTTTTTCGACACTAGCTACGGTAAGTAGCTGAATAGAGTTCAGCCGCTGTCTACAACAGAATTTTTATCCTCACCCCTTACTTACACACACACTTAAATACACTACACTACCAGACATGCCGGGAGTCCGGTCGGGAGCTTGGAGGCGGTGTCCTGCTGATGGGAGATACCTGGTTTGGGGAAACCTCGTTAGCCAACGGTAGGTCGGCACAAGATCTCACCATCCAGCAGGAGATCACCGCCACCTCGCGAAGCAAACACGCGCTACACTTACGGGACTAATGACCTTATCAGTCGACGCTGCGGGAATAAATTACACTGTCGTTACACATAAAATTCGATAATACTGTCGATACACATAAAATAATGAAGTCGATGTAACAACCGAGGTTAAGGTAACATATTCATTTACGACTTCTGACGTGAGTGGGTAGCGAGTGTAATTAACCCAGTCTAACGAATTTTAGCAGATAATAGTTTTAGTTGCTACGTCGAAACCAAGACTAAATGTAAGAGGGCGTGGCGGGCGATAACTTTTCTTTTTCATCTTTTCCCAGAAACCACACTTCTCTTCAGGTCCGGGGAAAACTGCAAATGCAAGAGAAGCAGTGGTGAAACAGTCGGGTCCACAAAGTGGGCGGGCTCGGGTAAAAGAGGGAATATTTTTTATTATTTAAGGTATTTCCACTACTTGTGTCTGCTATACACTTGCATAAAGGGGGCCAGGATAAACGTTTTGTGCGAGGGCCCACACTCACTTCGTTACGCTACTGAAGAGAAGCACAGGTTTCCGTCGTCGGTTCAGTAATAATTCCAATACCACACGTCTCTGAGTATTAAGGGTACGATTGTCCAGCGTGGAAGCAGGGTGCCATTGACCGGGGAGGGGAGGTCGGGAGGAAGGTCGGTCGTCCCACGTAGAGAGTACGACCTTCCTTAATAGACCGTCATGAATTTGAAAAAAGCATTTTTAAAATTTATTCATACCGTGGTGCATTGTAAGTGAAGATCGTATTAATTGTATTCATCAACCCCCCCCCTCGTGTTTTTAACATTACGACATGGAGACAATTGCCAGTTTGCCTATGTTAAAGTGTATGATGAAGGAAGAAATAAAGATGAAAATCATCAGTGTCTAGGTAAATTGCGCAAAGGAAAGTATAATAAGATAATATTGTCCACCGCTAAACAGAAACTAAATAATTCAAAAAGCCAAGAATGCGTTTCTAAAGGTAGTGCACCTTCTAGTATAGATGCAGGCCAGTCGGTGCAGTTCCTGGCGAACAATTGTTCGTCCCCCCTCCATCGTGCTCTCCCGCTTTCTCTGCGTTCAGTCCGTCTGCCCTTGACGCGAACAGGAAGTTTATAATCGGCAGTCCACTGCGACCGCTGCGCCGCACCTGATTCCCGCTGACAGTGTTGCCATTTCGTACGAAGCGAAATCTACAGAATTTGGCACCATCAATGCCATACGCGACGAATGACAACACTGCGCTAGTACCAATCCGCCACACGCGAGTCGGGGCCTAGTGAGAGTAGTAAGATCGATAACTACGTTGCAGTTAATGCTGCGTTGCCGCGTAGAAACTTTGCATAAAGAAGAAAAAATAATACAAACTTTGTAATTAAATGAGGTAAATGACATTTGAAATGTGAACCACAGACCATACATACACACAATCACTTCATTAAGAATCGTGGATTAATTTTAATGGATAATCCAATAAGCTATATTTTGACGTATTGTAGATCAATGTTCATGGGTTTAAAAGATGCATTAGTAATGAATGATGTGGACCAGCATACGATAATGAAGTGTATGAAGGCACGAGCGCTTGCTCTTATGACCTTTGTTTCACTGCCTTGTACTGAAGAGTCGTGGGATCAGCTCCGTCCTTGGGCATGGGTGTTTGCGCTTATCAGTTTTTACAGGCGATCTTTCGAACTATTCTATTTCGACGTAACTTATGTTTTGCATTTCCTCTACCGCATTTCCTTTCTTCTTGGGCCACTTCACTCTCGAGTGGGTCATTACGCGATTCGCTCGTAAAAGGACAGCGAGCATCTCTTGAGAATAGAGAGCAGTGGTTACTAGTTGTAACATCCCGGTAGAACAGAGATTCCCGACCGTTTTTTCAGTTGACTCCGTTTGAAATAATTGTTTGCGTCTTAGATCCCTTTAGTTTTCTCTAAAATATACAACACACTATACTTTCTTTTAGCACGAAAACATCATTTTCATTAATTGTAGACGCATCCAGTTTTTGGTTGCCGAATTTCTAATCTTGATTGCTACAGAAGATTTATAAAATTTTGTGCTTTAAACATTGCCTATAACACTTCTGCAGTGCATTTGGCGAATCATATTTTGTTGTGCGATAGAGTAACTTTGTGACATAGTTGTGTAATAGTGTACATAGTTACATTTTTCTTGAATTTTCTAAACTTCTTAAGTACGTATACGAAAGAAAAGGAGTGACTTGGTAATTTATTATTAGGTATTTTAGAAAACAAATAACAATTAATTATCAAAATCATTAATATTTGAAATCAATGGGATTTTAATTACACCGATTAGTCACCGGTTGATATCACGCTATTGGTCCCCCAATCGACCCCTTACTCTTGATTGACCCCCTTCAAAATTTTAATGACCCGACTCCCAAAGAGTTTACTTATTATAACTTGCTAAGAATTTTTCTTAGCTGCAACACTAAAAGAAGCCCAAGGGCTGCATTGCCAAAATAACTGACGAGCCAAAAAACTGGTACAGCCATGCTTATTAAAAAAAAAAAAAAAAAA